GTGGGACAGTTTTGTTGTGAGTAACGGGACCATAAACCATTTCACTCACCATCGTTTCTAGTAAGCAGTAATTTGTTCACACTGCTGTTTTAGCTGTATTTTATCAATTACTTTGATTTTATACATAATATATTGTATACAAATAAATTGTTACTTTTATATCCAGCTGATTACATATATATATATATGTGACAAGTACTATTGAAAGAGTACAAATAGTCAATGCAGATCTGTACTATGATCTTCTTGATTTCTTCTTTTTCTACATGCCATATATGATTTTGTGTCTCATCCAGCGTAAAGCATAAGTATATATTTTTTTCCCTGTTTTATTTTTGTTATATGGTGAAAGGGGTTTATCAACTTCATTTCGCTCCACTTCTTAATATTGTATCTGAATTAAAATGGCCGCCGCCGCCACCACATGTTTGATTGTCTAATGGCGGCCACTTCGACTACTTCGGCACTTCGGCACTGTATCCGAAGTGCCATATCAAAACTGCAGGTTTTTTCCCAAAGTTCTTAAAGGGCCATACACAGTCCAATAAAAGTCCATAAGCCAAAAATAATGTTTTAAAAGGGCCATACACCCCCGGGCCATAGTCGCAGGGCAGGAGGCTGGCAAGCATGCCTCTCAAGGACCAAGTGCCGAAGTGCACTTCGTCACATATCTCCCCTTTGGGGGGGGAGTCTAACCAGGCACATGACCTTCTGTCGGTCAGTGCCTAAGTTTGTCGATCCACCCACCCACAAAAAGCAAGTGCCATAGTAGCCCACCCACAATAAACAGTTACAAGAGCAGCCCACCCACAACAAACAGGTACTGCACCTGGGTATTCCTCTGGGGTGATGGGGCAACACGCTGTGGGGACTTGGGGGGCAGAGGCCAGTTGTGCTCTGCCCCACTGCCAGCGCTTCTGCTGGGGTAGCCTGGTGGGGACTTGGCTGGGGAGGGAAGACATCACTTACCCCCTCCTCCTGGTACTCCTGCAATGGTACCTGGGGATCTGGACCGGTTGTCCAGCATCCCTGTGGGTCAGGCACAGAGACCACGGTCCCATCTGCGCCGTCTGGGAGATTGTTGTCTCCCCTTAGTCGGGTAAGCTGCCGCTGGGGAGAGAGGGTGCTATGCTCCTCTTCCTGGGACACAGGCTGCCGCTGGAGAGGGAGACCGACTGTCTCCACTCCCATAACATGGTCTTGCTGCTGGGGAGAGAGACCAACTGTCTCTCCTCCCTGTAGGACAAACTGCTGATGAGGGGGAGAGACCTTCAGACCCTGTTGCTGGGGGGGAGAGACCGACTATCTCCTCTACCAAGGGTACCGATTACCTCCACTCCCTGTAGGGAACACTGCTGCTGGGGAGAGAGGCCGGCTGCCTCTTCGCCCTGCAGAACACACTGCTGCAGGGGAGAGGGACTGGTTGTCTCCTCTCCCTGGGACTCACTCTGCCGCTGGGGAGTGAGGCTCATTACCTCCACTCCCTGTAGGGAACACTGCCGCCAGGGCCAGACTGGCCCACCGGGATACCGAGAAATTTCCCGGTGGGCCGTCGGCACCTGGGGCCGGGCAGGCGGCTGGCTCTTCTTGCGGCCGCAGTGGGAGCTCTTTTGGCGGCCGCAGGGGGAGCTGGCTGTTCTGTCTCTGCTCCCCCGCCCTCGCGCACTTGAAAGAGACCGGGGCCGGAAAATGACGTCATATATATATATATATATATATATATATATATATATATATCAATCATCTAGGGTGGCAAGACATAGCCTTACATATTACATGCAACAATATATGCCGCAATGACTTATGGGGCTGGCATAGATTTTTTTTCCAGGGCTGCTTTGGAATACCCAGTCCGGCTGTCTCCACTCCCTGTAGGGAAAACTGCCGCTGTGGAGAGTGGCCGGCTGCCTCTTCTCCCTGCAGAACACACTGCTGCTGGGGAGAGAGAACGGTTGTCTCCTCTCCCTGGAACTCACCCTGCCGCTGGGGAGTGAGACCGGCTGTCTCCACTCCCTGTAGGGAACACTGCCACTGGGGAGAGAGGCTGGCTGCCTCCTCTCCCTGCAGGACACACTGCTGCTGGGCAGAGACCGGTTATCTCCTCTCCCTGGTGCTCACTCTGCCTGAAGGATACGCTGTTGTTGGGGTGCAGGGACAGAATACTTCGCCATCTCTGCCCGATATTCTGCTCCCTTCTGCAGACCCTCGGCCAGTTCTCTCCTCATTTTCTGTACACGTTCTTCTGTTGGGTTGGGCCCGTAGAGAGTCAACCGCCCCTTCAGTATAGCGTCAAACCATACTTGACTGTACCAATACTCCAGGCTTTCTTGGTGTTCCCAGGATGCTGCTCCTCGCACTAGGAAAACCATCCCACTGCTGCCACCACTGTAACGGATTCCCCCGTACTCCAACCGAGTACCTTCCGTTGATGGACGCTCCCTAGCTTAAGTTGGACATTACTTATACATTACACTAAACTCCAAAGGCTTGAAGTCCCCTGTTAAGTGTGATAGATCCTTTCAAGAGCTGTGGACCCTGAGGCCTTTTTGACCTTTTTTCCAGTAATTACACTTCCATTCACACAGGGCTACCCATTTATCAGATAGCAAAAAATGCCCGGGGGCAGAATTTAACAACCAACAAAACTGCTCCCATGGAGTGGCAATATTGTTTTCAGCATTGACTCTCTTCATCGCTGACTGATTCCTCTTCTGCAACTGTCACTAGTATAATACTATCCTTACCTTTTTGTGTCATTTTACCCCACGTCCTCTAGCATGTAAGAGCAGGGCCCTCAACCCCTCTGTTCCTGTGTGTCCAACTTGTCTGGTTATAACTACATGTCTGTTCGTCCACCCATTGTAAAGCGCTGCGGAATTTGATGGCGCTATATAAATACCATAACAATGATAATAATAATTTGACGAGCTATGTCTGCCTTCCCAATGACTGAAATATGGCATGTTGCAGTTACATGGTCTTCTTCTTGCAGTCTCAGGGCGTTTTACACCTCCCTATTAAACTACGCTCTGGTAACGTGACCATCGCAAAACGTTTGATGACTTTAATTGATAAGGATATTCCTCCTGACCATTGTCCTTTATCAGTACCTACAACCATGAGAAACTATCGCACATGTTGGCACTGTGAGAGAGAATTGGACAGCCTCATCCACATCTGTTGTAGGTGTCAAGATGTCAAGAGCAAGTCATTCTGGAATGCTATTCATACAGTTATTTCACAGCTAGCAGACACCCCACTCCCACTGGATGAAAAACCTATCTCCTTCACCTAAATCTCTTTAACATGCAATCGTATTGAAAGTCTGTTCTACCCCATTTGACAACCATGTTGCCTCTAGACTCATTCACACCTTCTGGAAAAAACAGAAGGTACCTACAGTGTGGTCTTGTATGGTCCTAGCCCCCCTTGTCAAACTCATAGACTTATCCCCTCACTCTCCCTTCACCTGACATATATTACTATGCTCTTCTAGCTCACCATCTTATAACTTTATCCCACCCCCTTTTTTTTCCTTCTTCTGTCCTCTAAAATCTGCTATCACTCCTGGTACCAGCTCCACCAACTGCCTTAGAAACACAGAAACTTTTGCTTTTGATTTCAGAGATAGAGAGAGAGTGTGTGTGTGTGTGTGTGTGTGTGAGAGAGAGAGTGAGAGAGAGAGAGATATATCTGGATTTATTTTCTTATATATAACTCCTGATCTGCCTGTACACATATTGCGCACCCACATGCTTATACCTCATTGTACACTGTCGCCACTAAAAGTGGAAAACAATACATGTGATTATTCCTTTTCTCTATATGTTATGCTATGCATTATCCTTTTCACAATAAATGCTGAATGGTAAAAAATAAAGGTTTAAAGCACAATTACATTTAATTGGTTACATTGGTTACACAAAGGATTTACAAAACATTAACCTAATTAGAAATCTGTATTACGTTTACTACCATGATTTAGATACTATTGGAATGTATCCAATCGTTTAACGTAACATTTGTTTAGTTGGAATGTAATAATATACTTCTAATTAATTGTATGCTGTTGATTTATTAGGATTCAGAAAGAAAAAATAAATTTGACAATATCTATGACATATTTTTTATTTTATTAAAATTAAAATAATTCGTTAATATTCATACTGGTGATGGTCAAGTATTGCTTTAGAAGTTTTAACCCCTTAACAGGGGCGGACTGAGAGCCTTTGGGGCCCCCGGGCAAAATTAGATCCCAGGCCCTTTGAAGGCCAAATATATGTGCATTAAATAAATGTTAAATATAATTCATAATACGGCATTCCTTTGGATGTGTGTATTGTGAAGACCTGTGTATCAATGCATGTTTGTATTTGAGTCTGTGTGAATGCACTTGTGCATGTCTGGATGACTACATGTGCTTTTTTGTATACAGTGTCTGTGTGAATGCATATGTGACAGGTGACAGAGTGTGTGAGGGAGAAGGTGACAGGTGGAAGAGTGTGGGAGGTTGTGACAGGTGGCAGAGTGAGGGGGTACCTGGTGGCAGAGTGAGGGAGGGAGGGGTTGAGTGGTGTCAGAGTGAGGGGGAGACACAGTGAGTGGAGGTGACTGGTGACAGAGTGAGGGAGTGGGTGACTGAGTGAGGGAGTGGGTGACTAGTGACAGAGGGAGGGAGAGGGGGTGACTAGTGACAGAGTGAGGGAATGGGTGACTAGTGGCAGAGTGAGGGAGGGAAGAGATGACTAATGGCAAAGTGAGGGAGGGAAAGGGTGACTAGTAACAGAGTGAGGGAATGACTGGTGACAGAGTGAGGGGGGGGTGACTGTCACTAGTCACCCCATCCCTCTCTCTGTCACTAGTCACTCCCTCCCTAACTCTGTCACTGTGTCACCCGCTCCCTCACTCTGTCACTAGTCACCCCATCCCTCTCTCTGTCACTAGTCACTCCCTCCCTAACTCTGTCACTGTGAAGGAAGGGGTGACTGGTGACAGAGTGAGGGAAGGGATGACTAGTGGCAGAGTGAGGGAAGGAAGGGATGACTGGTGACAGAGTGAGAGAGGGGGTGACTAGTGACAGAGTGAGAGAGGGAGTGACTGTCACTAGTCACCCCATCCCTCTCTCTGTCACTAGTCACTCCCTCCCTAACTCTGTCACTAGTCACCCCCTCTCTCACTCTGTCACTAGTCACCCCCTCTCTCACTAAGGACAGAGGGGTGATTAGTGACAGAGAGAGGGATGGGGTGACTAGTGACAGTCACCCCCTCCCTCACTCTGTCACTAGTCACTCCCTCTCTCACTCTGTCACTAGTCACCCCCTCTCTCACTCTGTCACTCCCTCACTCTGTCACTAGAGTGAGGGGGTGACTAGTGACAGAGTGAGGGAAAGGGTGACTAGTGGCAGAGTGAGGGAAGGAAGGGGTGACTAGTGACAGAGTGAGGGAGGTGGTGACTGTCACTAGTCACCCCATCCCTCTCTCTGTCACTAGTCACTCCCTCCCTAACTCTGTCACTAGTCACCCCCTCTCTCACTCTGTCACTAGTCACCCCCTCTCTCACTAAGGACAGAGGGGTGATTAGTGACAGAGAGAGGGATGGGGTGACTAGTGACAGTCACCCCCTCCCTCACTCTGTCACTAGTCACTCCCTCTCTCACTCTGTCACTAGTCACCCCCTCTCTCACTCTGTCACTCCCTCACTCTGTCACTAGAGTGAGGGGGTGACTAGTGACAGAGTGAGGGAAAGGGTGACTAGTGGCAGAGTGAGGGAAGGAAGGGGTGACTAGTGACAGAGTGAGGGAGGTGGTGACTGTCACTAGTCACCACCTCCCTCACTCTGTCACTCGTCACCACCTCCCTCTGTCACTACTCCCTCCTTCTGTCACTACTCCTTCCCTCCTTCTGTCACTAGTCACCACCTCCTTCACTCTGTCTCCTGTCACCCCCTCACTCTAGTGACAGAGTGAGAGAGAGGGTGACTAGTGACAGAGTGAGGAAGGGGGTGACACAGTGACAGAGTGAGGGAGGGGGTGACTAATGACAGTGGAGGGGTGACTGGTGACAGTGGGGGTGACTGGTAACAGTGGGGGGACTGGTGACAGTTGGGGTGACTAGTGACAGTGGGGGGTGACTGGTGACAATGAGGGGGGGTGATTAGTGACAGTGAGGGGGGGTGATTAGTGCCTACCTGTCTGTCTGCTTCCTCTCCCAGGCTGCAGTTCCTTCCACTCCTGGGCTCTGTGTGAGAGGAGTAAACAGGAAGTGATGTCACTTCCTGGCCTCTCCCATCACACAGAGCCGCATGGGAGAGGAAGCCAGAGACCTGGCAGAGAGGAGGTAAAGCTGCCAGGTCTCATTGGGGGGGGTGGCGGTGTGACTAGCAGAGCGGTAGGTTGTGGGGGCCCCGCGCTGCATCAGGGGCCCCACAACCTATCGATTAAATAGTTTTATTTTATTATTTTGCTCTTCCAGTTGGAGAGATCTCTGATCTCTCCGGCTGGAACAAGGCTGTGCTGCCGGGCCCCTGACTGCATCGGGCCCTCGGTCCATGACCGATATGCCCGAGTGGTCAGTCCGCCCCTGCCCCTTAATGACGGAGACTTTTACAAAAATTTTGGTCTTTTCTGCATTTTTGGTTTTGTGCTTTTTATCACTGAACTTTTATGCTTTGCCATTTAGGACCTTATTCTAATACCCTATAAATTCTGCATAGTACAACATTTTTAAGTGCATAAAAAAAAAATTGAATCAAATTTAAAAAAATGAATTTATAAACAACCCACAAAAACCTCAAAACAGATTTACTTATAACTCCTGATTGTTAAACTGCTTCATATGCCAAGGATTTCAATTATTTGGTAGTTATAGGACAAATACTGCACGTAAAATATGGTTTTAAAGCTAAACCTTTTTAGAAATATGGCATGCTGAGACTATAATTCAAATTGCATATCCAACACAGCTACACAAAAGTATTTATTTATAAAAATGAGACACCCCCCCCCCCGGCCACCATGCTGTGAATTTCAGAAAGTTGAAGAAACTCAAACATTTCCTGATGGGAATGAAGGCCTCATTCCTCATTTTACCATGACCTGATATGGCTGCAGCTTGTGCTCCGTTCCTCTTCCAGATTGTTTGAGATAATATTGGGAAGAGTTGTTTTGGATTTGGAAAGCTGCAGTCTCTTCGGATGATCAGATTGCAGTGCAAGGTGGGGGGTGGGGGGTGAGTTGTGGGTGAAGAGGGCTGGTACAGCTACTCAGCTTATGGAAGCTGTTGCCCATAGCATAAGAATAATACGACAGTCCAAACAACCTCCCAAGAAGAACAGAAGCTAATTGGATGGTGGCTGAGGGTGACATGGAGGACAGAGCTGGCTGAGGGCAGAGGGCACAGTAAGTGTGCTGTGACTCCTGACAGCAGTATATATATTCTTCCATGATTCATGACTATGTCAAGCTGCACATCAGAGAAGCAGCACACTATCACCTATACACCACTAGGGTAAATGTGTCTGTGTCTGACAGTGTTTGTAAATGTGTCTGAGTCTGACAGTGTGTGTTACTGACAGTGTAGGTGTAACACTGTGTGTGTTTGTTTGTCTGTATGTATGTATTGTGTGTACGTGTCTAAAAGTGTTTGTTACTGGCAATATTTGTGTGACAGCATGTGTCTGATAGTGTGTGTTACTGACGGCGTTTGTGTGACAGTGTGTGTATATATCAGCATGTGTGTGTAACTTGGTGTGTATCTTAGTGATACTGTGTCAATGTCTCCTGTGTGTGTGTTTGAGAGAGTGTACCTGTGTGTGTCTGAGAGAGTTTGTTTATGTGTGGAAGCAGTGAGTATATGTGTGTGTGTTTGTCTTTCTGGCAGTCCTATCAGAGAGTGTGTTTGGAATATCTGTGTATACGTGTGGGCGCATGAATGTGCGGATATGTGCACATGTATCAGAGTGTGTATATACGTGCATGTATCATTGGATATATGTGTGTGTGCATGTATAAGTATGTATGTATCTAAAGAAGCAATGTGGCTGCAATTAGTAGACATAGGCAACGTCATGGCAGTTTGACAACATATAACTATACAATACATATATATTTACTTACAACACTGTGTCCTAGCCTGTTACTTCATTATTTGGTAAATCATTTTTTTACATGTTTCTGTCCAACCAAAGTTTTCATGTTTGTTTAATTTATTAATGTGTTATGATGCAAAAAGAAACAAAAAATACATTAAAAAACATTACTTCCCAGGACATGCAAATTACTTAGATTCTGAAGGTGTTTCTATCAAATTTTGGTAATTAAAGGATTAATATGGCACTTCCAATTGGAGATGACTCAATCCTTTTTTTTTGTAATTGATGTGTTATTTGCACGAGTCAGATACAGAACAAGAATAAAACCAACAAAGAGATAAACCAACCAATCGAAAAAGATGCAATACCCCAGAAGAGTCTACGTATATGAATGTAAAGGAGCTTGGGAAAGGAAATGGGATGTGATTAGAATGGAATGGAAGAAAACAAACAGCACAAAAAAGAACGAAGAGAATAGGTATGATTGGAACAACACATGAATGGAGCATCATCATTTAAAAAAAATCCGTGTTTTATGCAATAGTGTGAATTTCAGAGCAGTGACAGTTCCCCTTTAAAAAAACGTTATCCACTGAACCTCCTTTATTATCCAATACCAGAGAAAATCGTCCGTCTGGTATAGGTGTGAAGCCAAAGAATACGGGCTCTAACTGCATAAAAGCTAAAGTTAAAAAAATAATCATCATGTATTTATTTATTTATAAAATATTTCACCAGGAAAAATACACTGAGATTATTCTCATTTTCAGGAATGTCCTAGGGAAATATAATTGATAAAGACTCAAAATATATTATATAAAATTCTTTATATTATATGTTCTGGATAGTGTAATAACGATTGGCAAATTTTCTTGTTAAGCAAATAAAAATCGAGTGTGTGATTATTTAAAAATAAAAATGGAGATCTTGAACTCTCTGAGACATTTTGCAAGAACTTTGAAAGTGACTGTAATTACTGTGGCCACTATGTTCAACATGACTTAAAGAAATGGGCACTCATGACAATGGAACAAGGTCAGGCTGGCTAAGGTTGACCTAAGAATCAAAGAAAGCTCCAAGTCTATGAAACATGCGATTAACTGCCCCTTGAACACAAACCCAGCTAAATGCTACGAGAAGCACTGGTGGTTCAACATCAATTGTTCAAAGGTGATTGCGTGAAACTGGACTAAGTGGAAGAATTTCTGCAAGAAAGCCATTATGAAAAGTGCAGTAAAAGAAAGATACTTGAAGTAAAGTAATAAATGTAGAAAAAACTGGATGTTATGTCTGTGCTATTTATATTGCCATGCACGGAGGAGCTAGGAATATACTGTGGGGATACTTTACTGGTGGATGTCATGTGTTATTGGGCTGGCTATTGTTGGTAAAAACAAGGGATAGCAGGTCATATTACAAGTCAGAGAGTGGTGGGAATTAACAGAAAGAAAGAAAATACTGATCGGGGATAACTAAATCTCCTTAAATTCTAAGCATCATCACTACTGCAAAGCACTGTAGTGGTTATGGTGCCGAGAGAACTCTAGTGCAACCCGAATGTAAGTAGTCAAGAAGTTTTCTAATGTTTGAGAATATACTAGGAATCTGCTGGGTGTCGGAACTCTGTTACCTCTCCTCATTTGAGCCGTGCCATGCAGGGCCATCTCATTAGATAAGAGTGTCCGCTGATTACTTTCAGCCAAGAGTCTGGCTCTCAATGGATGAGTTGTCAAACCCCAGATACATTGTCAAACCATTAGTAAACAGGCTGACTGCTCACATTCTGGGAATACTAGGGCACGACTGGCACCATAACCAGTACCACATGCTGTAATAACAGGCACTATCCAAAATCAAGATGTCAACTGTCAGGACAGTCAGTATACCAGTTAGGGGTTAGTATAGGCAGCAGACAGAGAATGGTAGAGTATAGTTATAGACATACAGGGTCCACAAGGAGATAAACAATCACTGAGCAGTGGACAGAGGGATAACCTTATTGATGCCTATGGAAAACACAGCGTATTGAGCCACATGGAACCAGTCATAGTGGTTGAACAGTATCAAGAGAGGCTGTGCAACCAACTGGGTGCCCGCATCAGTTGTGAAGGTATCTCGTATAGATGATGGCATACAGCATTCCTGACAGTGATAAAATTGATCATGTGCCAACTCCAAGGGAAGTTCAATCAGTTTGATGTCCATAGTGTATTTAGAAAGAAAAAACAGAGAGAGGAAAGAGAGTGTCAAGATTGCTATAGATGAAAATGGGGGGTAACCCCTATTGAAACAATAATTAGTAGAGAAAAAAAGGGTACAAGTAAAACTGTGGGAAACATAAACTTTATGCCCACAGTCTACTGGTACATAGTTAGCAATCCATATTGAATAAATAAAATATAACTTTTAATAGGTAATTAAAAATAGTAACACAGTCACAAAATGTCTAATTAGCGCAATCGCTACAACCAAAGCTAAATAGATTCAGCGACAAGAGAGAGACAAAGGAAAATAATAAATATCATGAAATGGTGCCTATATATATTGCTGGCACAAGTAAGAAGGGAAAAGGACAGGGTTAAATGAAAAGTAGAGCCCAATATCCC